TGTATAAAACATGGCAGCATCATTCATTTCTTTCACATAGGGGCCAGGTTTGGGAGCCATCGCCACCCAACCCAGGGCCTGGATGCTTTCACTGACAGCTGACAGGTGATTGCACAACTTACTGCCTTGATTCTTCTCCCAAAAGGTTATAACTTCTTGGATCTGCTCTGAGATAGGTGCCAACAAATCAGAAAGCTGATTACCGGCTGGCTGCTGGCACTGAGAAGCTGTGACCAAGAGAGCTCGCTCCAACTTCAAACCTGTGTGGACCATATCTGTATGTTTCTGCACATCTCCCCCAATTTCTTTACTGATCTTCAAGTACCCTGCCACAGGACCTGCAAGCAGTGAGTCAAACACTCCCACATATGGAGCTGCTCCCTGTGAAGGATTGACTCCATCCCCATGCCCCTGGCACATTTCAGAGGGTTGGGATGCTGCCTCCAGGCGGCCCACTGCCCTCTCCAATCTTTCCACCAAATTTTGCATGTCAGCCATGAGGAACCGCCTCACTGCAGCGATCAACCTCTCTCCTCTTCCGGCCAATGCACGGTTACTTTGTGGCTAAGAGCCAACACTGTCCAGACAAGATGTTTTTCTCAAGGCAATGGTAGCTGACTGCTCTAGGCACTGGTGCACTGTCCTGCTCTCCCCTACACAATGAATGTCCAGCTTCAGAGGCTCCCAACAATAGGAATTGAAGTCCCCAAATGCAGAACACAGAAGTAGCTCCACAGTCATCCAGACTTTTATTAGGGTTTTAGTGTTCCCATGAATAAAGAGCAACAGATGGAAAGGAAGAACCTCAAAAGTAATACACAGATGCACCCAAGTCAGAAAAGTAAAATTCACACCTCCAGTAGGAGTGTGTTTGGCTTTTAGAGAAGGCTGGATCTGAAGTGCATGATGAAGCATACCTCTAATCCCAGCACTCTGGGAGGCCAAGGCAGAAGGATCACAGGCTTGAGCCAAGTCTGAGTGAATGAGTAGCTTAGGGCAACAGTGCCTGGAAGTGAAAAAATATGATAGCTCAGTGCATAGGCCTGGGCTCGGCCTCCAGGGTCCAGCAGTGTTGTATGCCTGACACACGCAGCTCCTTTCCTGGACTGCACTCACATTTACTTTGAATTGGACTCCAGCTTTGCTCTTTTGTTGTATGTTTATTTTTGTAAAATATCCAGGGGACTTATCAAGCAAGCAGTTCAACAGCACCCTGTGCTGCCTGTGCTTCCACTGATGTGACAGACCAATCCTTATCACGTGCACATTCTCAATGTAAAGGACAGATTAAAGTGCCAGCTGCAAAGTTTCTAAGTCTATATGTAAACTACTTTTCCTTAGTTATAAATGTGAAATGTTGGTGATGGATGGTTGTAATCCCAATACTTGGCTGGTGGAAGGACTATCTTTCTGCATTCAAGGGCTAAAAGTGAGTTCAATGTCAGTCTGTCCAACCTAGCAAGATGCAGTCTCAAAACTCAAGGGACTGTAAGTCGTGAGAAACTATTCTTTAGAAATAAAGACACTAGAAACTGAATACTATTCTTTAATCCAGGGTATGGCAACAGAGGAAGTCCTGTTGGAGGTGGTGTGGGGAATGTGTGGAGGGTTATGGGGGACCTGATGCAGCTGGCATGTGTGAAATGAGAGATAACTGTGGACAGCGAAGCCAGAGATGGGATGGGTCACCTAGAGCCTGTTCTGGGGCCTCCGCTACAGCCAGCCAGTGATGGCAGGAATGGCTTGGACTTTCTCCCACAAAGATCCCAGCCTTGGGTAACTGTCCAGTATGTTAGATTTAAGGACCAGGAATGTGGTACTACAAATGTCCCAGTAGAAATCTGCCCAAGTCACCTGATTAAATGTCAAAAAAAAAAAAAAATACTGTTTTCAATGTGAACATAAAAGGCATAATTTCATCATTTCAAAATTAAACTAGGGATTGCTCCAGGAATCAAACTCAGGACCTTGTGCTTTCCAGGAAAGTGCTATGCCTGTGAGCTATATCCCCAGGATAAATTTAGTTTCTTGATTGAAGAAATAATTATGAAAACTTAAAATAAGTTTTGTTACTATGAAAACTGAATGTGTACATAGCAGAAGCGTGGGAGAGGACAAAGGAGGGACAACACACAGAGGTTCCCTGTTGGTGCCTTAGACTACACAATCTTTTTCCACACAATTAGATGGGCAGGTTCACTTACACACAGCCTCCCAGTACATGCTATCCCGTAACCTGGTCTAATCTCCACTTCTCTGATACCTTCATATTGAGCTATTTGGCCCTTCTTTTCCCTCCCCTTCCCTCCCTTCCATTCCTTTCCCTTCCCTTCTTGTGGCCTGCTCAGCCCACTCTGGGGACAGGGCTGGTTCAGCACGTGGTGTGGGGGAGCCAACCGAAGTCCCTCCGCGCATGCCTCAACTTGCCTAAGCAAGCGCTTTAGACTGCTGAACTGTCTTGCCGGTCCCACCTATTTCTTTTCTATTAGCAATATTTTTTAAGATGAATTTTTGGTTCATTCTTTTATTTCAATATATTTGCAGGTATTTAAAAAATATAAATCATACTCACAGAGTAACCAATGAACCACTCTTTGTACTCTAAGTATGTTTCTAAATCTTGCAGAAGGGGAGGAGCCTCACATGTAAGCAGCTCACCAAACACTCGATCCTACAAGAGAGAACTCCTCACCTCACCAGTGCTAGAACTACAAGAGGAAGTTGATTTCCCATTTTTTTCTCCCATAAGAGTTCATAATGGAGTAGAAGTAGCTGTCTATCTTGTTTTATTTCTTCATTTTATCACATCATGGGGATTCAGTTTGGTTCTCTATAGATCTTACTCCTTTCTCCATTACTCAGGATTTTAAAAGAAATTTCCTGCCACCAATTTTATAGTTTGTGTGCATATAACAACCAAATAGTTCACCAGCAGGGCCTGGTGGTGCACACCTGGGTTCCCAGAACTTGGGAGGCTGAGACAGAACTACATAGCAAGACTCTGTTTCAAACACACACACACACACACACACACACACACACACACACACACACACTCACGTCCACCTGTTAGGTTTTTATTCTAATTTTAACTGATACAAAATTATCCCAAGGGCCAGGGATATCGCTGGGCATCATGGTGCCTGCCTGGCAAGCACAAGGCCCTGAGGTTGATTACCAGTACAAAAATACTAATAGCAAAAATTATTCTATTGTGTTTTTAATTTCCAGGATGTGTTCAATTTAGCTCCCTTAAACTTTTTTAAAACTGAAGGAAATGTAATTCACTTTCTTTCTAGGGCCAAGCTCCAGGCTTGCCATTGCACTCAATGGACATAAGCCACAAAGAATCATTTTGCTTTTGGGCTGATACGAATTTACTGTCTTTGGCACCCTGGTACCCAAGTATGAGATTTATCTGCTTTAAATACCATCTGATAATCATCATCCAGATAACTATTTTTGTTATATTTTTAAGCTAATATTTACATAATAAGCCTAAAAGCCTTGGAAAGACAAATAAATGAAACATGTATAAAACAGGTGTATTCATTTTTTATAAATTGTCTTCAGGTTTCTACTCAAGTTTCTGATGGTATCTGTCTGTTGACTTGTCTGTCTGTCTGTCTGCCTGTCTGTCTAAATTTTGTTCTTTTTTACAACAATCTTGGCTCACTAAGGGTGAAGGTGCATGCCTATAATCCCAGCCTTCTGGGAGGATGAGGAAAGAGGATCACATGTTCTAGCCCAGCCTGGATAATTTAGCAGTTTAGTTGGTTGTTGTCTCAAAGTAAAAAGTAAAAAGATCTTGAGAAGCAGCTCATTGCAAAAGCCCTGGACTCAATCTGGCTTTTGAAAAGAATCTGGCTATGAAATAAAAGTCTAACTCCAAAGGCTGAAATACAGTATGCACACATCACTGATTAGTATTCAAAGCAACCAGACTTCACGAAGGCAAGTGAAATAGTGGATACCTGCCTCACCCACTTACTGGTTTATTCATATTTTGATCATAATCTAGCAAGATTAATATAGGCTACTAGAACATGATGCCTTATATTTGCACATTTTACAGAAAACTGTTTACATATTTACAAACATTGCCCAATTGATGATTTAAAAACTGAACCCTGATAAGCTTGTCATCAATTTGACTTCGGTTCTTGTCCTTGTCCTGTACCTCTTCTTACATAAGGTGCTCTATGGTAAAAATTTAAATAAATGCTGATTAGGATATAAAATTAATGAAGATTTAAAGTATAGTTTTTTAGTTTGGGTTTTTTTGGCCGAGGAGATAGCTTGCCTGTCTCAGTACCTGCTTGGCAAGTGCAGGGACTCAGGTTCAAACCCTGCTACTGCATGCTGTACTGCTGTGATGACCACCAAAACCAAATGTGGTGGCACACACCTATAATCCCAGGACTGGAGAGGCTGGGACAGGAGGGTCACTATGAGTCCAAGCTGAGTAGTGAGATCTGGTACCAAATATAAAAATAAATAAATAGATAGATAAACAAATAAATAAATAAATAAATAAAAGATTTTTTAACAATTTAAAATATAGATTTTTCAAAGTTAAGTAATTAGTTTAAAATCATATCTGGTGTCACATATAGTATCGCTATAAGCCTAGATGTTAGAGCCAGTCTTGTCATTGACTTTTTAATCCAGTTTTCTAAGTCTTTTCTGACTTATAAAATGTAAATATTTCATTTGAGGTTGTTAAATGTCCCTTTGAAGAATATATGTGTATGAATTCTATGAATTTTAAAGTCATTCTTTGTAACCATGATTGTAAAAATTGTAAAAATGGTCATATCATAACTTTTCATTATGCCAGGAGGCTGATTCTTTGCTCATCTTATTTGAAGCTCTACCATTTGGCAAAATCCCTGTTTTGGAAGTGGATGGACTTATCCTTCATCAGAGCCTGGCAATAGCAAGATACCTGACCAAAAACACAGGTACCGTGTTTATTGTGGTTTACGTGTGATAACGGAGAAAGTCGTTTGACGTGCATTCCATACTCATTGAATTAACAATTATTGAACATGGTAGCACAAATAAGAATGGAATTCAATGCTAGAGCAGCATATTTATCAGCTTTCCTATCAGTGAAACACAATAGTTGATACAACTAAAAGAAAAGAGTTTCAATTTAGCTCATAGTTTCAGGAGAGTCAGTCCATGGTTGGAATGTTCCAAAGAATCATCATGGTGGGTGGAGATGGTGGAGCACAACTGCATGCTTGTGGCGACCAGGAAGCAGATCCAGGGAGTGGTACCTGAGACAGACGAGTGAGGGACCGGGTAGAGTGACTCACCAGAAATACCCAGGAATGTGCTTTGCTAAACTGCTAGATGATTAATAATCCAATGAATTTGGCACATCAGGATAAATGGAGCAGTATAAATGTACCATCTGTATCACCATAACTATCCAAATGCCCCTAGAACAACCAGACAATTCTATTTTACACTGCGGCCACTCTTTTTGCTCCATGCTGCTTTGCCACCTATCTCCAAGCTCTTTTTGAAATTTAGTTGAAAAATTGTACAGGTATTTTTCACTCCAACATGTTGCTAGTACAAGTGTTACAAGTGATCAGAGAAAGTTAACCAGCCAGAAATTCCTGTGACACACGAAGGTTAAATTTTCTTAGACAATTAAATTTATGTATGTGAGACTTCCAGGAAGATGGCAGAATGGTGACCAGCAGAGAAACAGCTTCTCTCTTACTTGGACTCTAGATGCTAGAAGCAACATGAGGAAGTGAGTGAGGACGGAAGTAGTCCCCCAGGACCCAGTCAGGATCTGATGCAAGAACAAGAGTCTGTGGGGAGAGGGAAGACAGGGAGGAGGAAGGAAGTGGTAAGCTTGGTTTTTTCCTGAGTCCCAGCTCACTGTGTGGGCTGGGTGGCTCAAACCTGAGGAGGCACAGTGACTACTGGCAACCCCAGAGGCCTCCACAGAAAAATGCACCGGTGGAGCAGAGAAGTGGATACTGTGGACTGCAGGGGCTGGTGAGTTATTTGAGTTCAGGTGCCCTCCAGGGCAGGGTTATTAGCCAGTAGCCATGTTGGAAAGGGGCCAACTGAAGTACAAACTGAGAACAGCTTTGGGCTGGCTCCATCTAGTGGCTCCAAGTGTCAAGGTGAAAGTGCAGCTGAGTTTAAGCAGGCAGTCAAGTTGGAGTAGATAAGAGTCACTTGGAGTATCGCAAGGTGAAAAAGTAGGGTCCCAGCCTCAGAGCCACAAAGCAGAAGCAGCCTGTCTTCAGTGCAATGAAAGGCCCGGGTTTCCTGCAGTTCTTCACCACAGCATCATAATTCTATTGCTGGCTTTCTGGGGTCAGTCGACACTCATCTGGGCTCTGTCGGTCCTTTCTGTCAACTAGTGATAACAGACACACCCTGAAGTGGATAACTTTTTCCCTACATGTCTTTTCATTATTTAAAAAAAAAATTTAATTTTAACTTTCTATTTTTTTCTTATTTGTTTTTTATACATGTGTGAACATTGCTTCTAGTTTGTTTTGTTCTGTCCATAGGTTTAAAAGAGTTGCCACAATCTGTCAAATTCTAGGATGTGTTTGATGCTAATGTTTTTCCTGATTGTACTACTTTAGCCAAGGTGATATAATTGTTCTAAACAGGTGTTTTTTCTTATATGCCACATTGATAATGCCTGGTGATCATAAACAGTATTATAGGCCAGTGCCAAGGACCCAGGGTCTATGCCAATTAAGCAGAAACTTCTCATCCCTAACAAATTGAAGAGGTAGAAGTTTGCAATGGAATCCAAACCATCTGGAAGACATCTCTGAGAAGTAGCTACTTCATAAGGGTGCTCGATACTAGCAATAGTGATAACTATGATAAATTATTTATCAGCATCAACACAAGAATTCAAATATAGAAAATAACAAGGCTTAGAAGAGAGCTTCAACCCCAGGCTTGTTGTCCATGCAGGTCAAACCCAGGGGCAGTAAGGTGGAACAATTCAAAAGTTACCCATCTGGACTCTCTGAAGTGGTAACAACAGAAGTAACAAATGAATGAGCCTTTTTGAAAAAATAAAATCAGAAATAAAGTCTCTGAGAACTTCAGAGATGAGGGCCATAATAAGGGGCATGTTTAGTAGATCTAGAGAAGATGCACATAAAAAAGGAGCTCAGGAAGGTGATGGGAATCATGAATGGCCAACATAGGAAAGAAATGAAATAGATTCAGTCAGAGATCTAGGAGATTAAAAATCCTGTTGAATGTCTTCACAGCAGAATGAACTATTGTGAGGACAGAATATCAGATGTAAAAGGAGTGTGGTTAGCAATCATGGGAGGGTTCTTAAAAATACCAAGGGACTGATAAATGGATGCAACAGCTGCTATATGATGCCAAGAATAATAATACAGGACTGATCAGAGTCAGTAGAAAAGTAGGAGATAACACAAATAATATTAGAAACCTGCTCACAGAAGTAATGGCCGAAAACTCCCAAGCAGGGAAAAAGAATTTGACATACAATGAGGTATAAGTGAGGGGTATAGAACTTTAATTAACCATGATCAAAGAAAATCTACATTAAGGCATGAAATAGGATTCTAGAAATTGAACAAAAGAATACAATATTAAAACTGTTAGAGAAAAGAAACAAATGTCTTATGAAGAAAAGCCCAGCAACTCCAGGCATGGTGGCACATGCCTGTAATCCCAGTGCTGGGGAGGCTGAAAACAGGAGGATCACTACAAGTCCAAGCTGCATAGTGAGACTCTGTACCAAATATATAAAAATTAAGAAAAAAAAAGAAAAGAAAAGCCTATCAGAATTAGGGTGAATTTTTCAACACAAACTCTTTAAGTCAAGGAGAGATTGGCATGAAGAATTTCAAGTCCTAAGAGAAACAACCTCCAGCCCAGATTGATGTACACCACAAAACTATGCTTCAAAATTGAAGGAGAATTAAGATTCTTTCCCACAAAGAACAGCTTAAAAAATCCATAGCTAAAAAATGAGCACTCCAGCATGTTCTGAAGGACATTTTGGAAAGAGATAACAAGGACTACAACTGTATGAACCCGGACAGAAAGAATCCACCAGGCAAGGAAAGAGATTAAAATCATTTACTCAGTGATGTCCTTCCTTCTAGTCTGGCTGACAAAAAAGAAATGAAGGGACTTTTGTCTACACCGAGTACTCTCTAAGGGACCCTAAGAACCTTCACCCACCATATTCATGAGAACTAATAAATGTAGTTCTCGTTTTTGCTTGATGTCCTTTCTCTCATCCTCTGATCCATTGTCTTTTTCTCTCTTTCCTACTTTTCTTACATACTTTTTTTAGTAAAACTCTACTTTTCCATTCTTTAAAAGCTCCTTCCTTTTTCATTAACCTGTGGAATCAGTGTCTTCCACTCCCAACTCTCATAGACCACTCGTGGATACCAAAATGGGGCTGAATGCGTAACTCTGATTTTTGGGACAAAGTCAAGTTTGTTAAAAATGTAAATACCTAGCACATGGTGCACTTGCCTGTAATTCCAGTGGCTTAGGATCCTGTCTCAAAAGGTAAAAAAGAGCTGTGGATATATTTCTGTGTAAAGGCCCTAGGTTCAATTGTCTGTACTGAAAAACAAAACAAAACAAATTTGAATTATGCTAACACATGCTGTATTTCAATTGAAATGTTCTTTAGGGTTAGAGAAATAGAATTTTTTTTTTCAGTACCAGAGACTGAACTCAGGACTCTGTACTTGCCAGGCAGGTGCTTATTCTACTGAGCTATCTCCTCACTAGAAATTGTTTTTGAGTGAGGGGATTTGTCCTTGAAGTGAAAGTGAAATTTGAGTTCAGCCTTGAAACATGCCCTGATTCCCTGAAAGTAAGACCTAACTGGAAAATAATCAGCCTTGAAAGCTAGGGGTGAGAGGGACCAACCTCATTCACCTTGCCCTGCCTGCCACTATAGAGCAGCCACCAAGGAAGAGAAGAGTGGGGTATAATCCGCAGGATGTTGGCTGTAACCATGGGGATGACCAGCGATTATTTTTCCATTCCTTTTCTTTTCTTTCTTTTTTCTTTCCATTATGCTTTGTTCTGTTTTTGTACTTGAGGTTGAAGGGACTTTGCACTTGAGCTACATCCCCACCCCTTGTTTTTTTGTTTATTTTGAGACAGGCTCTCATTTCTAAATTTCAGCATTCAGGGATGACGGGCGTGTGCCAGCACACTTGGCTGATCTTCATTTTCATGGCGTCAAGTATTCCTACTTCTTCTCTTCTTCCTCTTTTGTTTTGAAACTTACCTCAATGTGAAATATGCTGAGACAAGAAATATGCTTGTCTGTCTTCTCCAGTCAACCATATGTGTCTTGTATTCAAGACTATAGCCACTTTGGGGCTGGCTCACACCTTAAGACTGTTAAGTATTTATTGAGTGAAAAGGAACAAGTAGGGCATTGAGGTAGGGTGTGGTAACTCTACCTGGGGATTTGCTGAAGAAGAGCTAGGAATCCAAAGAATACTCAGTCATATGCAAAAAGGGAGCTGAGAACAGGGGCCTGCAATTTAGCAACAGATGCTCAAGGAGGAGCCATCTGTACAGTTTGGTAACTGAAGCCTTGGGTATAGAGTGGGAGCAGGAGCAAGAACTGACAGAATTATTTTTCTTTTGTTTTTTTTTGTTTTATTTCTTCCCAAAGTTTTATTGATAAACAGATAGCAATGAGACAGTTTCAATTCAAATAAGAAGTACAGTTTCAACAAATAATACACTGCATATATTCTTCTTAGTGGTTAATTGCTGTACAAGATGCAGACTCGTGATCCTATTTACAAACACCATTAGAACAAATCATTCTATTCATTAAGAGAATGCAACTATATATCTATCC